GTTTTAAAGATGACTTGGATAATAGCGCGGTGTCACAAACACCAGATACAGAACTGGGACTTAATCAACAGCCGATACCGCACCGTGACGTCACTAACCAGTAGGTGGCAGTAGTGTTCTTTGACAAACATGGATGCCTCCAGTAAAGCACATTCACATGGAAATGACTCTTTTCTGCAACACTGCGCCAGAAAAATTAGGCTGACAGAAAAAATGCTCATTAATAACAAATAACTTAAAATAATAATGCATGAAGCTTTTTATTTGATATAAAAATTATAAAATTCTATAGAAAAAAAACAAAGATTTCTAAAGAGATTTCTATAGCGATATGAAAGTGCAACACGTATGCAGAAGTAACGTCCCATCCTCCATGCAGCTGCACCTGCTGCTGGATGGGAAGCTGATCCTCGCTGTGGAGAGCGGCTGGTTTCAGATAGACCGATATCCCAGAATGCTTTGCAAGGAGAGCTCTCCTCTCAAAGCATCATGCGATTTGCTGTCACAGCGGCCCGCTGACGCCATAGGCTGCCGCTACCCGACAGCGGCGACTAATAAAAAAGATGGCGTAGGCACCGCGGTGTGGAGGAGGAGTTACGTGACGGACGGAGCTAAAAGCAGTGATCATCTGTCTGAACGGTCAGTTAACTGAGTTCACTACAAAGTTCACTATATAGTCCCCGCTCTATAGTGATGGAGGGGTTTAGGGGTTAGGGCGGACGGTCGGACACAGTGAGCTGCTATGAGCCATGAGAAACTTTTCAACAGAGCGTGCACGAGGAGAAATGGTCTCGTGCACGCTCTCGCACAAGTTTAATAGGAGCGGGTAGAGGGCCGTGCATTTGTTTTTTAAAGTGCAGTGGATTTTAAAACATCCTCCACAATACCTTTAAAATGGCCGACCCTCCACGGGCAAACGGGTGAGTAGTGGGCGAGGGAGCGGCCGCCAATCGGGAAAACGCCCTTATTGACCCTGATCCGTGAGGTCAGGTGGAGAGCTGGACTCGTTCTTCTGTCTCAGAATCAGCAGCAGGGCAGACATGGTTCTGGTTCTGGTCTACCTGTTAGGTTTTCTCTCCACTGCTGCTGCATGTCGACCACAGGAGGAATGAATTCAGTCTGTGACTCGATGCCAGTTTCCTCAGAAACAAACCTTTTCATTTCAGGGCAACATCAGAAAAGAGGAAACAGATTCAATCTGTGGTTCATAAACGGCCTGCAGACGACATGTGCTGTGAATTGGCTCTAGATAAATTACCACGTGTAATTTAATTAACTTTACATACTCTGCATAACGTTGTTATGACAACCAGCCTTTAGTCTGTTTCACTGTAACAGAAATAGTTCAATCAGATGATCTATAGAAACAAAGCTGGAGAAAAACCATGACTCTGTTCTAACAGGAGATCAGCTGGTCTGCAGCACATAGAGAAGCACTGAACAATAGATCAGCAGCAAGGCGGCCATTTTTAGAAGATATGGTTAAAAGGGGGGGGGGGGGACCAGAGACGGAACAGCTGCAGGAAAATAAGCCGATGATGACAAGCTGCAATTTGGCCCTCAGTGTCGGAAAATACATTTAGTCAGCAAGAAACAGGAGGAGAATAGGAGGAGAATAGGAGAAGAACAGGAGGAGAACANAGGAGGAGAATAGGAGAAGAACAGGAGGAGAACAAGAGAAGAACAGGAGGAGGACAGGAGGAGAACTGGAGGAGAATAGGAGGAGAACTGGAGAAGAACAGGAGGAGAACTGGAAGAACAAGAGGAGAGCAGGAGAAGAACTGGAGGAGAGCAGGAGAAGAACAGGAGGAGAACAGGAGGAGAACTGGAGGAGAATAGGAGAAGAACAGGAGGAGAGCAGGAGGAGAAAATGAAAAGAACGGGAAGAACAGGAGGAGAGCAGGAGGAGAAAATGAAAAGAACGGGAAGAACTGGAGGAGAACAGGAGGAGAACAAGAGGAGAACTGGAGGAGAACAGGAGGAGAACAGGAGAACGAGAGAAAATCCGATTGATGCCTGAACTGATTCTAAAAAATAAAGTTGAAGTTAGTTTAACTCCTCTCTATATTTTCGGACCTTTTTGTCCCTAATCAGACCCTGTAGCTGAGAGCAGGTAGAACCTTCAGGTGTCCTCCTCTGCTCTGGTCTGACTGGCTGTCTGTGCCGCAGGTGTTGGTGCGCTCTGATTGGTCTGGTGAACTCTACGGCAGCCTGTTGGTGGACGAGGGCGGAGCCATAGGTGCTGACCTCCTATTGGACGAGAGCCAGCAGCATCTTTATGTTTTGACCGAGGAGCGGGTGAGACACGCCGCTGTCCCTCTACCATGCCTTGGTTTCCTTTGTCTTCTCCAGAAAAAATCAGCTCCTTTTTCTCGTCTCAGGTGTCAAAGGTTCCCGTTTCGTTCTGTGAGAGACAGACGGACTGCCAGTCCTGTCTGTCCATCAGAGACCCTTACTGTGGCTGGTGTGTCCTGGAGGGAAGGTAGGTCTGTCCATCACCTGTCTCTGCCCATCCCTGGATTCTTTCTCATAGGAGTCCTTTGGCTCCATCTAGTGGACATTAAAGGGACTGCATGTTGTTTCAGAAACTGATCCTTTATTTGGACTTCCTGTTTTCCAGGTGTTCCCGTAAACATGAGTGTGAGCGTCACCTGCTGGCCAACCATTGGCTGTGGAGCTTTGAACAGACCAATCAGTGCGTCACAGTGCAGAGCCTGCAGCCGGCCAATCAGAGCAGAGAGGAGCAGACTCAGGTATAAGGAGCTGTGGGGTCATGAGGTTGAAGCCTCTGATGTACGAAAGGGTTTTGGTTCTGATCCGATCCGGTTCAGGCTTTCAGTTCAGTTCTAGGTCTAGTTCCCTGTTACTGATTTAGTGCAAATACTCGCCATATTCTAAGGTTTTTCCTGAACATGGCCGCCTCTGGTGAAACCGAGAGGAGACGACGGAACCAGCACAGCTGTGAACTCTCAGAATGGAGCCTGCAGTTCTGCACAGATAATAAAATCTACAGATGTCTTGCCATACAGTTCCTTTTAAAGCAGTAACAG